TGGAGTTAAGGATGGTTTGTAGCCGCCATGTGGGTGCTGGGAATCGAACTCTGGTCCTCTGCAAGAGCAGTGCTCTTAACTGCTGAGCCATCTCTCCAGCCGCTATTTTACTGACTTAAAAAAATTTTATGCCGGGCATGGTGGTGCACACCTTTAATCCCAGCACTTGGGAGGCAGAGGCAGGGGGATCTTTGTGAGTTCGAGGCCAGCCTAGTCTACATAGTGAGTTCCAGGACAGCTGGGGCTAAAGGAGATCCTGTCCCAAAAAAGACCGGAAAAAAAAAAAAAAAAAAAAGAATTTTGTGTGTATGTGTGTTTTGCCTTCATGTATGTAAGGGCACCTGTGTCGTGCAATGCCAGCAGAGGTTAGAGGAGGGCGCTGGATCCCTGGAACTGGAGTTAAGGACAGTTGTTAGCCGCCATGTGAATGTTGGGAATCGAAGCCAGGTCCTCTGGAAGAGCAGCCAGTGCTCTTAACTGCTGAGCCATCACTCCAGTTCCTGATTTTATTTATTTATTAAGTGTTATTTATTATTTTTATTTTATGTGTATGCGTGTGTTGCCTGAATGTAGGTTAAGAGCACCCGTGTCCTGCAATGCCTGCGGAGGTCAGAAGAGGCTGTCAGATCCCCTAGAACTGGAGTTACAGACAGTTGTTAGCTACCATGTGGGTGCTGGGATTCGAACCTGGGTCTTCTGTAAGAGAAACCAGTGTTCTTAATTGTTGAGACATCTCTCCAAGCCCCTTGATTTTATTTTATTTTTATAGTCTCATGTATCTCAGGTATGAGGATGACTTTGAACTTCTGATTCTCCTGCTTCTGCCTCTTGAGTGCCAAGTTTCACTATGCCTGGTTTTATTTGGTACTTAGGATCAAACCAGGGATCTGTACATGCTAGTCAAGCATTCTAAAAATGGAGGTCTAGCTGGGTGTGGTGGTGCATGCCTTTAATCCCAGCACTTGGGAGGCAGAGGCAGGCAGATCTCTGTGAGTTCAAGGCCAGCCTGATCTACATAGTGAGTTCCAGGACAGCTGGGGCTACAGGGAGACCCTGTCTCAAAAAGACCAAAAAAAAACCAAAAAACAAAAACAAAAAAAACCCCCAACAACAACAACAAAAAAAAGCAACAAAAAAATGGAGGTCTAACCCCAGCCCCCCTTCTTCTACTTCTAAAAGAGACTTTCAGGGGCTACAGAGATGGCTCCAAGGTTAAGAGCACTGACTGCTCTTGCAGAGGACCCAGGTTTGATTTGATTCCCAGCACCCACATGGCAGCTATGAACCGTCCTTAACTCCAGTTCCCTCTTCTGACCTCTGTGGCACTGCACGACATGGATGCACTCACATACATGCAGGCAATATACTCATACACATAAAATAAAGATAAAAATTAAAAGACTTTCAGCCATGCTGAATAAACAGGTCAGAATTTATCTTCCTGCAGTACACAACAGAAAGTTGGACAAAGCATGTAACAATGATTTTTAGACACTGGACTACAGGCAGAGTTGGACATGCTACCTCAGAAATGACACAAGGAGAACCTTGGGTTGCTTGTTCTGCCTGAAGGCAGGTTGCAGGCTGTTGCACAGAAAAGGCAGATCCAGTCTTGTCAGTTGGAATCAGAATGGGTGTGGGGGGCAGGGGCGCTTCATTTTGTTGGCAGTGTGGAGGGAGGTATAAAGAGTATACTTTGGGAACCTGCTGAGGGATTCTCTTGAACTTTGGGAAGAATGATATGCATGCACATGAGAAGAAACTACTAGAGGCTGGCGAGAATCCTCCAGAAGACAGTAGACCCAACAACTCCTGGCAATTACATAGAGCTCAGATTGTCTTCACCCACCCAAATGGGAAGATGGTATAATGCACACAACAGAGTCCTCAGAATGTCCCCTCAGTAGTGAACCTAAATAAACCATAGGCTAAAAACAACAATATAATACAACTGTAAAATTTACAATGCCCAAGAAAATTGCGGGCTACCAAAGAAATAGGATAACATGATCTTAGAACCAAATGAAAAGTCAATCAACAGAAATGGACCAGAAACAAGAGTGTTAGCAAACAATAATGCTAAAATACTCTCAAAGTTATAATATATAGGTAAAAAAAGATAGAGATCCTACAGGCTGAGATACAAGAATTTTAATTTCTAGAACAGCCTCATTCTTGCTAGAAATAAACAAACAGCAACAAAAAAAACCATGCTAAGGATAGAAAAGATTTTTAAAGCTGGGCGTGGTAGCACACACCTTTAATCCTAGCACCTGGGAGGCAAAGGCAGGTGGAGCTCTGTGAGTTCTAGGCCAGCCTGGTCTATGTAGTGAGTTCCAGGCCAACTGGAGCTACAGGGAGACACTGTCTCATAAAAGACCAAAAAAGAAAAAGAAAAAATAAGACTTTTAAAAGGAACACAAGAAAGCTACCCTAGTTGAGTGTGGTAGTGCACGCCTTTAATCCCAGCATTTAGGAAGCAGAGGTAGGTGGATCTCTGTAAGATTGAGGTCAGCCTAATCTACACAGCAAGTTCCAGGACAGCTATGGCTACTAGGACATTAAAAAAAAAAAAAAGAAATTCCAGAAGACTACAGTGACAGGAACAGATTAGTGGCTGTGGGAAGGGCACTGATAGCCAAGGGCATAAAAGTGCTTTTGGGAATGACATAAATATTCTGCACCTTGATTTTGGTGTGGCTATAAGACTGTATATTTGTCCAAACTTGTTGAAGGATATATGTAAAGTTGGTGATTTTTATTATTGTATATAAATAATACAATAAAGGTATTTAGCTTTAAAAAAATTGAGTGACACACTTGCATATTAGCAAACATCAATTTTTTATTGTACCTATTTCCTTTTTTCTTGTCGTAAACCTACTAGCCCTCATATTGCAAATCAACCAGCCATGTATTATGGTTGAATATGAATTTTTTCCCATAGGCATGTTTTGAATGTTTGGCTCCGGGCTAATGATGCTATTTTGAAAGGTGGTAGAAACTTTAGGAGGTAGGACATACTTGGAGAGAGGTTATAGGGGCGTGTTAGAAGGTTAGAATAGATGCCTGGTCCCCTTCTTTCTCTCTCCTTATGGCCACATGGACAATCACTCTACCACCATGATGCTCTATCCAACTACACAGGGCTAAGTGACCAGGGACTGAACCTTCTGAAACCATGAACCACAAATAAATCCTTTCTCTCTTAAATTGTTAAGGATT